GAAACACTGGACACTCTGGACACTGCTATAAGTCAAATGGCCAAGTGATAACAAAAATAAAAAAGTTCACACATACCGCTGCTCATGCTGCTCAAGAGTCACTAAGAGGGAAATTCCCCCCATTTTTAAAAACGTAATTCAGTCCCTGAATGAATGTCTGTAAAAATCCTGACTGGAGCATCACTATATATAATTCTACATGATAAAAAGGCTTCAAAAAGATCAGTATCGGTGATCATATCGGCAGATGCTGCTTCCTGTGATCGGCCCAAAAAATCCTGATTGGAACACACTTATTATAATTCACTATATATAATAAAATACATGTTTTTGAAGGACATTTAATGAATAAATGGGATCTGTACATGAACCATGCTGAATTGTTTGTTAAATAGTTTGCCTAATTTAGTTGCTTAAAATAGCAAAAAGTAGTTTCAGCTCTATTTACATCCATTCTGCAAATATTTCTTCATAATCTCTGCAGAAAATGTGAAGGAAAACTGCAGATTCTGTTTAGGCTTAGCTATATTAAATTAAACTATTTTTTTTATTTATAATAATAATAATAATAATGTGTTACTGTTACTATATATTACTTAAATATATTTTATAATAAACAATCTTGCAGATTCTGTCTGGGCCTAGCTATTTTAAATTCTTTTTATTTCAAATATATTAATATTAGTCATTATTATAATGAAAACAATATTAATCTCAGTAAAATAATTATAATTATTACTATTATTAAATGTATTTTTATAAGAAATAACCCTGTAGATTCTGTCTGGGCCTAGCTGTATTAAATTAAATTAAATGCATTTATTATTATTATTATTATTATTATTATTATTTAAATATATTTAGCAAAAATAATAATAGTTGTTTATTAATAATAATAATAATAATAAATGTCTGTCATGTTGTTTGGATATTCCAGTAATACACATTATTTTTTTCCCCCAACAGTAAACAATTAAACTTTGCTTCACACCCAAAACCTTACAAGATTATTGCATTTTTTTTTTTATTCGCTTTGCATTTAAATACTGTACAGCAGTCCCTTCCACTGATAGCTGCACAAACGCAACTAGCATTGCACTGTGTAGACCATCCCAGCACTGTTGTTTGTTTGACTCTCTGACGACGCGTCGTTCTGTGTGTGCAAATAATGAGTTGAGCAGCTTAAAATGAATCTCAGCATTTGCTGCTGCAACACCTTTGACTAGGAAGACTAAAGACGGCGTAATTGTATAGACAAAAAATGCAATAAAGAAAAACCTGTAACTTAATTTAAAAACCTTGAATTTAAAAGGCAGTATCACATAGCCAAGCCATTAGTGAATTATTCACAACGGCTTTTGTTACCACACAGGTAGGGTACTGTTGGTAGTTACAGCCGCTTACTAGTGACCTGTCATGACATATTCTGGTATCAATAGCTTTGGCAACAGTTACTGTTTTAACTGTGTATCCTTTAGGTGCTACATGTGTGAAGCTCGGACATACAGCAGAGCTTTAGTGCCCCAGGAATTTGCTCTGTGGTTGATTATTAATGGTGACCAGGGTTAATTGTGTGTCATCAGACTCCTCCTCTGTCATCACCCAGTTTTGGTGTTTAGATCCGTCCTCATCTGTCGCTAGGCAGCCAGCATTTTCCCTCCGGTTGTCACGGTAGCAGATGTGTATGTGCCCATTGACGTCAAAGCCCAGGTCCAACAGCAGACTCATGCTTCATCAGACCAGGGATGCTGCGTCATTAGGCTCAGGATCATATCAATATGGACGTGAAACATGACTCTTGAGCTTAAGTGAGCATGAGCTGAGTCTTACATAGATGTCTCAAACCCAAACTACTGTGCGTCATAAAATCATATTAAATGTTACATTTAACATTAGATGATGTGTTTAAATCATCTTGGTATTATCATAATGATTTGTTTGATTCATATTGTAGCGTTTCGCTAATCCAAACAAAGGCTTGTTCATCCTTCTCTGGAGCTTTCGTAATGAAGTTTCCCACTGCTTTTCAATTAACAGCCTGTTGTCAAGGTAACCACTCCATTAATTCTCATCCTTTCCTGATAATGTGTTCCAGGGCTCCAGAGATCATCCTGGGCTTACCCTTCTGTGAGGCCATAGACATGTGGTCACTGGGCTGCGTCATCGCTGAGCTCTTCTTGGGCTGGCCGCTTTATCCAGGAGCGCTGGAGTATGACCAGGTAAGATCAGCCAGTGATCTCGGATAATGACCCACTTTGTTGCGACACTAATGGGCAGCATTTTGGAGGATGACATCATTTGCTATTTTTCAGAGCAAGTCTTTGTGATGAGTTTCTTCTCATCGTTAGTAGCAGCAGGATTGTGCAAAACTATGTATTTTCAAAATCTTGGTGGATGCCTTTGTAATAAAACAGGATGCAAGGGTCTTGTGACTTGTTTTTAAAAGAGACTATTTTTAACTTGAATTCAGCATCTTAACACAAGTCGTATTGCAAAGCTCAAACTGTAAAACAGGTAATGCACAGCATGCTAGTTAGAGATTGACCAATAGTGGGTTTTGGACAGCTGAGTTTATCTAGATTCTTTTTTTCTAGTAACCGCCTCCAAAAATTATTTCATAAAATTGTAAAAAAAAAAAAAAAAAAAAGTATATTTAGTTTCTAAATACTATATTATATTATAGTATTAGTTTACATATTACTTATTTCCTTATATAATGAATTTATTTTAATATATAATAATGAATGAAAAGAAATCTTTAAAAAAAAAAATTATAATAAACTAAAATAAAACAAAAATGTCTTTGTTTTATTAGGGTAAGTCCAGGATGATCTCTTAAAATAAAATATATAATTTAATGTTATAATATATATGTATATATGTGTGTGTGTGTGTGTATACAGGTGCATCTCAATAAATTAGAATGTCGTAGAAAAGTTCATTTATTTCAGTAATTCAACTCAAATTGTGAAACTCGCGTATTAAATAAATTCAATGCACACAGACTGAAGTAGTTTAAGTCTTTGGTTCTTTTAATTG